TGTGGCCAGCAAATCATCACCTTTGAATATATAATATTTTAAATTAATTGAATCAGCTGTTGGTCAGGCTACTTCTTGTTGTGCCATTAACTCTAAAATAGTTACTGAATCAAGTGTTTACTTATGTAGGTAAAACTAGATGTTAAACAACCGTTAAAATACACCAGAATGCAGGAAATGGCATCTACTTTATTAAAAATTTTCTGAGGGAGGACCACCAGACCCCCTCCATTTATCAGTGTGTGTCTCTCCCACCACCTCCCCACACACACACACACACACACACATTACAAATGCTTCTGACACCAATGGCCAAAATGTTGCTAAACAAGTACACATGGTGTCGTATGGTGTTCAAAGTGCGTTCAACTTAACTTAGTCTTGATGAGTTGTTTCAACAAGAGGACATATCATTTACAGTTCTATGAGCATTTGGATTTTTATACATAAAAATACACTTGACAGTTAGAATCTGAAGTATATTTACTGTGTATTATAGTAATTTATTCTGTATTTTGCCAGATTATGGTGATTCTGGGGTCATGATGATGGGGCCCTTGACGATTGTTGCCCAGGATACAGAGAAGTGTTAATCTGACCCTGCTGACTCCAACAGACTTCTCTTGTTGCTTAAAATTTTACAATAATTAGTCATTATTGTGGCAGCACGGTGGTGCAACTGGTACAGCTGCTGCCTCTTAGCGAGCAGGTCCCCTTTTTAAATCCCAGTCTGGGGGTCTTTCTGGGTGGAGTTTGCATGTTCTCTCCATGCATGCGTGGGTTTTCTATGGGTACTCCGGTTTCATCCCACAGACCAAAAACTTGCATGTTAGACTGATTGGTAACTCTAAATTGTCCTAGGTGAGAGTGAGAGTGAATGGTTGTTTGTCTCATTTGTCTCTATGTGTCCCTGTGGTGGACTTGCGACCTGTCCAGGGTGTACCCCGCACCTCACACAGTGATTGCTGGATATGGGCACCGGCAACCCCAGTGACCCAAAATGGAAGAAGCGGGTAAAAGATAATGGATGGATGGATGATTCCTGTTTTTAAAGCCTGGGGGAAAACACCTGATGAGAGGGATGAGTGTCAGCAGGTGAGTAGTTGAGTCCCAACTCTCATTGTCAGCATCAAGTTTAATACTTTTTGATAGTGACTGACTGAATTTTGTAGGTCTGTTGCTGAGCTGGGACCACTGCTGCTTTGTCTCTATACAGAAGATCACAACTGCTTTGTCTCTATGGGGAGTACAACTGTTTGGTTTCTCCAGATTACTGCACTTGTTTCCAGATGCTCGTGGCTGCTTCACTGGATTTCTCCACGCGCTAATGTTTGGGGTGCAGTCACTGAGCACTCGTGTCAGTGGAGAGGTTAATTAGCCACACAAATGGTTATGGACTATAACTTTTTAAACCGAGTATATGGTATAAGTTTCAGTTAATTTCTGTAGTTTCTTCATATTGTTTGTTTACAGCCCATTTACTTTGTGAATTACAGTATATAATTTAGATATTTGTTGTGCTGACATTTAATTTTTGGTTTATTTATTTTTGGGCATTTGGTAGTTGGTTGAGGTATTTCATTGAATTATTATATTTGTAATTTGTTTTCTTTTGATTGTACTTAGTTTGGTGGGTAACGTAGCTCCTGGTTTTTTTTTATTTTTTTTGTTCCTTTCTTTCTTTCATTGGATTGTAAGAAATAAAAATGGAAATTAATAAATTGTTTTCTAACTCTGGAAGCCTGTCTCACATGTCCTATGTATGGTATGTTGTGTCATGGTATGTTGTGTTGTGTCGTGTCAATGTATGTTGTGTCATGGTATGTTGTGTTGTGTCGTATCAATGTATGTTGTGTCACTGTCTGTATGTATGTACAAACCGGATTCCAAAAAAGTTGGGACACTAAACAAATTGTGAATAAAAACTGAATGCAATGATGTGGAGGTGCCAACATCTAATATTTTATTCAGAATAGAACACAAATCACAGATCAAAAGTTTAAACTGAGAGAATGTATCATTTTAAGGGAAAAATCTGTTGTTTCCAAATTTCATGGCGTCAACAAATCCACAAAAAGTTGGGACAAGTCCATTTCTACCACTGTGTGGCATCCCCCCTTCTTCTTACAACACTCAACAGACATCTGGGGACAGAGGAGACCAGTTTCTCAAGTTTAGAAATAGGAATGCTCTCCCATTCATGTCTAATACAGGCCTCTCGCTGTTCAATCGTCTTGGGCCTTTTTTGTCGCACCTTCCTCTTTATGATGCGCCAAATGTTCTCTATAGGTGAAAGATCTGGACTGCAGGCTGGCCATTTCAGTACCCGGATCCTTCTACGTAGCCAGGATGTTGTGATTGCTGCACAATGTGGTCTGGCATTATCGTGTTGAAAAATGCAGGGTCTTCCCTGAAAGAGATGACGTCTAGATGGGAGCATGTGTTGTTCTAGAACCTGGACATAGTTCTCTGCATTAATGGTGCCTTTCCAGACATGCAAGCTGCCCATGCCACAAGCGCTCATGCAACCCCATACCATCAGTGATGCAGGCTTCTGAACGGAGTGTTGATAACAACTTGGGCTATCCTTGTATCCTCTCTGGTCCAGATGACATGGTGTCCCAGTGTTCCATAAAGAACTTCAAATTGTGGAGTTTTATCAAACTTTGTTGTTTAATAAAATTTAGCAGACTGAGAACTTTGTTAAAAAAACACGTAGCAAGGTTTATTTCTCTTCTGCAGAAGGAGAGAACACATGAAACGAAAACGCAGCCCAAGAGTTCTTGTGTGTTCTCCAAAATCATGAGCAATACAGTCTCATTTATACACCTTCACACGTAACATGTTTTGACACAACAGGCACTCATTTGCAATCTTATCAGAGTAAAAACAGACTACTTTTGTGGTCAGTGACTGGTTCTGGAGCTGGGTTTGAGAAACGGAAGTTAGAAGGTTTCACACACTGATGTTGAAGGGGTTTAGCTGCTACAGTTTTAGATAAGCTTTAACAGAGTGTGATATAAAGTAAATGACTAATAAGAGTAATGATAAAATTGATGAACAAAATTAACTGGTATCAATGTTTTCATTTCCACAAAGTACTGATCCTTTCTGAGACTCAGAGCTAAAACTGCAGGCAAACACTTTAATTATCATTTTAAAATAAACTGTAAATTGTGTAAACATATCAACTTTTTATATTAACAACCTAGAAAATATCAACAAAATCGTGACTCATCTGACCACAGAACAGTCTTCCATTTTGCCACACCATTTTGTCATTATTTTCCATAATGTAATGAAAAAAAATGAAACTTTCATATATTTCAGATTCATTGCACACCAACTGAAATATTTCAGGTCTTTAATTGTTTTAATACTGATGATTATGGCATACAGCTCATGAAAACCCAAAATGCCTGTCCCAAAAAATTAGCATATTTCATCCCACCAATGAAAGACAAGTGTTTTTAATTCAAAAACGCCAACCTTCAAATAATCATGTTCAGTTATGCACTCAATACTTGGTCGGGAATCCTTTTGCATG